AGAGAGAGAGAGAGAGAGAGAGAGAGAGAGAGAGAGAGAGTTGTTTTACCAATTGAATGGTAGTACCAGTTTGTTTAACATGAAAGTATTTTGGAGACGGTTTTTGTTTTTGTATTGTTTTTGTTTTTTGTCGTTTTTCCAGCTCATTGCTGACTCTATATATGACTTTCCTTTCGGTCATTTTCTGCTGGTTTTGTGCAACACAATGCGCAAGGCGCAAGTCGGTGTGGGTGAGAATGGCAAACCGGATGTGTTATCAGAACGTAAGTATCACGATCGTCAGTGGCAGAGAGAAGGTTAACAACAGTCGTATTTTTCATCACCACTTCAGGACACCCTTCACCACTTTAGGATGCAGCCTGCCTAAACAGGTGGTTTTCAGGGACTTCGGACCTTTCACCAATTCAGGACCATTCAGGTCTAAAAATCCTGAATGGTCATGAAGTGGTGAAAGCTCCGAAGACCCTGGAAACCACCCGTTTAGGCAGGCAACATCCTCAAGTGGTGAAGGATGGTTTTCATGGTCTTCGGACCTTTCACCACTTCAGGACCATTCATGATTTTCAGACTGCCCAAAACTCTCACTTGACCACTTCAGGACACCCTTCACCACTTCACGATGCAGCCTGCCTAAACAGGTGGTTTTCAGGGTCTTCGGACCTTTCACCACTTCAGGACCATTCAGGATTTTCAGATTGCCCAAAACTCTCACTTCAGAATTTTCATTCCTGAATTTTCAGCTACCCGATAACCGCTTGTGCAATTGCATGTCATTTCCTTCGTTGTGACAACTACTGTTTTTTTTATTTGGATACAAGCAGCCGATTGTTGTCCTTTTAAGGGGACTATGTGGAGTCTTTTTTGTTTCTTTTGTTTTCTTTTTCTTTTTCTTTTCCTTTCGAAAGTTCGTACCATTTCTTGATTTATGCATGTCATGGTTGTGTGAAGGGGCCATGCCAATCTTCTGTATTGTTCCAATTTTAAGGGATGAATGACTGTATGAAGTCTTTCCCTCCGTGTGACAGTTACCTATTCATTCATATATATAGAAGATTGGCTTCTAATCCAGGGTAGTCACGCCGACGGTAGGCGGCCCCAGACCCGTCGGCTGCCGACCAGCCGACGGTAGGCGT